CTCATCATAGGCTAAAGTGTAGTGAAGACAAGAGGGTTGTGCTTACCACCACTAGGGACTGAGTCCTCTCTTATTTTGCATCAGAACCAAGCTCCACTAGCTCAGCTCTCCATCTTGTAGCCAGGAAAAAAAACAGTATTTTTTTGTTTTTTTTTTTCCTTAGGAGGAAATAAAAAATACTTATGGGAGAAAACTGAAGCTTTCATATAACATGCACTTAAATCTGTGGGGCAGAGGGAACTTCTTGGAACTGGAAATGCTTGTAGGTATGATTTTTAAAGATAGTGGTCAAAGGTGGAAAGAAAAGGAGAGGAAAGAAAAGGAGAAAAAAAAAAGGTGAAATCAGAGTGCAGATGAGGCTAATTAATTAATTCAGGCTCCTAATCTCCATCAGAGGTCCTGTGAGAATCTGGGACTGGGTAAAGTGTCCCAGGTGGAGGCTGCCTGGGCCTTGTGTAGACCTCAGGGGAAGGGAAGTCTGTCGCAGCTTTCCTATCACTTTTTCCTCTGACCCTTCATGCTCAAGGGGGTCGTCTTCTGCCTAGGAATGAGATTTCTTTCCTCCCTGATGCTTTACAAGTCGCTATCTTCTGTAAGCGTCTCGACTGCAATAACCTTTAGAAGTCAGTGGTGTCTGAAGTCCTATCGGTCTTCTTTATGACATGGAGAGTGTAACAAATGAAATGCTTTTCCTGCAGGCTTTTTGAAGGATGTCAGTTCTTGGTAAAAATTAGGAATCTACATGATCATTTATTTCCTGAAAGTGGCTGAGATACATGAATACAAAAAGAATAGGAAATAAAGTGGAAGTTTTAACTGACAAATTGGAGTCTTGAAATAAAACAAGCAATGCCGTTAAGGCCTAATTCACTTTAACCCGGATTTAACAACTGCAGAGGCTGTAAGGCATTAGCATTTTTCCTGAGGACGTGTGTGTTATGTATGTTGTTGTTGAACACTGCTAACTGGATGCAACAATTTGAATCGAACTGTGCGGAATGACAAATCAATAGGCGAATTTTGATGGTTCTTCAACTTCACTTCCTACAGAAAGGTTCCCTATGGGTTTTATCTTGGCATAGAGTTACCAGCATGTCTAAAGTAGCCCAGGAAACCACAGTCTTTCATCTGTTTTGACAATGCGTTTTAGAGGTGCCCAGATCACCTCCAGCCAAACCCAGGTTTATGCATGCTTTTGACTGATATTGGGTAACATTTCACCAAACCTTGCCAATCGCAGGTTTTGTAATAAACCACCAAGCCATGCTTGGCTGTCGCAGCAGGAGAGCAGTATCTTCTCATCATAGTCTTAGGCATGATGATTAATTGTTTTGGTTTCTCTACACTTTTGCAGTGAAGGAATTCCCATTAGTAGTCTCATCAGCTACTGGGGCAAGTGACTCTGCACCAGTATGAGTTAAGCGTGTAACACCCTGGCGCAGAATAGCAGCTACTAACACGGACACAGAGAGAGAGAGGGTCAGTCTGTGGGGCATTTTACATATAATCCTTAAAAAGGACATTGATATTGCAAGACTCTTGTGACCAAGTTTCTCTTTGAAAAGGTTAAACTGCAGATAATAAAAGCTGCTAAAAACCCCACTGTTTTTATTCTGAAGCATCCCCCTCTTAACTCTTTGTCACCTGTCCCACTGCCCTCGCCATCAGTTCTGCCCTTTGACATGGATTTGAGGTACGTGGATGCTCTGCTCTTCCTAGGTGTTCGTAGCAATTTGACTGCAGTCAGCTGCGTGACACTTCGAGCAGTGCTCTGGGAACGTGATCCCTAATCTTATAAAGAAGTCACTGAATGATTCTTTTAAACATCCCTTGATTTCCTTATTAGAGGAAGTTCACTCAAAACCAGAACCTCTGTGTGTCTTGCAGGTCAGTGAAATAACTCAGGACTTTCCTTCTCCTAGAACTGAATCTCCTGAGATCCAAGTTTACTGCAATCCGATTCAAATTTACAAACTGAAATGAATAAAACTCAATTTTGATAGTGCTAATATATACACACACACATGCATCTATATATTTTAAATACACTTAAATTTCATTAGCAATGATTGTTTAGAGAAACATCATTACATTCCTGGGCTTGGGAGCCTTCTCCAGGGTTGTGAACAATCAAAGATTTATTTGAGCTTTCTGCACACTGGGAAATGAAGACACAGAATCTCATTATCATGTCTATTAAAAGGCAGAATCTGGGGTACATCTAAGAAAAGATGTATTACTTTTTAAACTGCGCTGCAAACTGTGAAGTACTACAGGGACTTGAACTATTTAAAAATACTCTGGGCTTATGAGTAAGAAAAAATAGGGTCTCTTTCCCAAACAGTATAAAAATATCACACCATTAAGTTCTGCTGTTATTACAGTCTTGGAAATATGATTGTATCTACTTTTCCTTCAAGCTGGTTGATCCCTGGGTTTGATACTGGGGTCGAGGGACCATGGAGGGCTACCGGAGTGAGTTACTTAGGGGACAATGCAGTGGGGGGTATGAACAATGACCAGTTAAATTCTAGTTAACCCCAATTATAAACCTTCACCTTTGTTAATTGGATTAATTCATCAGCAAGCACTATGCTTACAGTGTGTTGGAGGCACACGATCCAACATTTTCACCATTTATTAAAAGTTAAAATCTTTTATGTCATCAGTCTGTTGCGCACAAATGGCCATGCAATATATTACAGTAAAGGTAAAATCAGGTTAAGTTTACCTATAAATTAGAAGATAACATTTATTATAAGAATCCTTCTTGGAAGTGAAAAATTTGCCTCGCAAGCACTTTCTGTAGTTATTAAAGATCTCTAAGCTATGAATCTCAGAGCTTAATTAAAAGCAACAGAGATATGTCCAAGGAAGGAAAGAAAAGGTCTGAACATCAGTATAGGCAGTTTCCTTAGATTTGCTTTCTTCCCTTGATCAGTATCTGAAATGTTGCGTGCATTGGTGCAATGTCTTAATGCACTGACCTCTGGAGACCTGAGTCCAGTCAATGCCCAGCTGGGGTCACAAGTGGTGGTAAATTGGTTTCCTTCTAGAGCTGAAAGGTTGGTTATATCTTTTGGTACCCTGGTGGTCACAGTCCTATGTGGACTTCCCATCAGAGAAGCAAAGGTGATTTTACTCCAGGTGTAGAAGGCAGAGAGCTTGTTTCAACAGCACCTGCTCAGTCTGGGCCACTTTGAATAATCCCTCAGTTTCGCAAACGCCAGAATGACACCGTTTTTCATGCTAGCGAAAATCATACAAGTACTTTGCATAAATAGGGACAAGTTTTGCTCTCAATCCCATATGTGCAGTAAATCTAAACTAATCCCTCTAAATTGAAAGGGGTAATTTCTAATTTATATTGGTGGGAGTGGCACATTTTGCCCATGATAACCTTTCAGCAGAACCACTCAAAGCAATTTGCATGCATTAGTAAGTTCCACAACATCCCAGTGGTACAGGTGAATACTGTATATATCAAATATATAAAATATTATATACATATACATACACACATACAAACACCTCCCCACACACCCACCCACCCACACACACATGTATACATACATATATATATATATGTATAAATGTGCGAACACAAATCATAAGAATGCTTTTTTTACTCTCCAGCAATATTGAAACACTTTTGTATACCTACAAGTCAGGACCTTCTGTTAACTCATGTTCTTCTTTCCTAAGTGCGTGGGTCATCATTTGATGAAGGTTTGCCTTTGCAGGGAAGATCAGTTGCTGACTAACCATTTGGGTAAAATAATGCAGGAATCTTTTTGAAATTTGTTCAAAAAGTCACATTTTTACTCTGAAAGAGGTTTTTAAATGTAAAATGTTTTGGGATCTGTCTCTGAAAAGGTATATTTTTTTAAGAGATTAGTGCAATATATTTCTGGCACTGTATTTCTGTACATTTCAACATGCTACGTGGTTGGGAGGTTTGGACTAAAGAGAAACTTAAAGGAGAGCATAATCATGTTTGCGACACTGAAGGGGCAGGGAGCAGCTGACCTCTAATAAATGCAGGAAGAACATCATTTTAGAGTTGTTACTAAAGGCAAATAGGAGTTGGGCTTAGTCTTAATTAAGAACTGCGTGTTTGTAGCTCTTGCAATCAGACTGGATCAAATATCCAGAACACTGCCCCCATTTTCACACACTAAGGAGTGACATTGTCATGCTAGCCTCTCCTTGAAAACCAAAAGATCTTAAAAGGCAAGCAAACAAAAATTCCAGATTATGGAAATTAATTAGAGCACACAATGCTGCCTTTCTCAATGTTCAGACTCAACTAATTAGGGATTAGATTATTCAAGAGCAGGAGATCAATTAGGATTGCTTTCTGTAAAATTCCATGGTGAAATATAGTTACCTGTTGAAATATGAAAGAAATCATGCCCGTGTACAATGGACGGATCAAGGCACAATACTGCACGTTGACAAAATAAATTATGAAAACAATAATCATGTTTATCTAATCTCTTTGTTGAAAACTGTTATTTTGATTCCAGTGCCAGCTGTCTGAAACTTTAATTTAAGTGCTTGCTTGAGGCAAGACATTTGGGATACTAGTTTAGAATGTTTTATAGCCTAAGCAATATGTTTTACTAACCTCAAATACTATGATGATTTTAATGGTAACTGTCATATGTTCGAGGAGGTTTCAGGGTGATCTTTGATTTTATCAGGTGCTTGCACGCCTGATGAACCCCAATATTTTTTAAACTTCATTAGCTACCAGCTCCCCAGGAGTAGTGGTTAACTTCTCTACAGGAGGTGGGGAGAAATATCAAGTAACTTACTTCACTGCCTCTGTTCTAGTGTCAAATTAGTGTGTATGTGTGTGCAGCTGTAATCTGGGGAAGCAGTAAAAAAAATCCATCTATATTTCAGCAGTAATGCAAAAAAGGCTGATAAAACTAAGTGTTTTGTAATAAATATTATTTATTAGGAATAATTAACATGAGCACTAAACTATTAATTTCAATGACCAGTGCCTGCTAGTACACTTAAGAAGAGTACGTCGTCACTTCTCTCATGGTCTGAATCTCCTCTCCTTCAAAAAGTGAGGGTCTTGCCACTTGCTCCTGAAGGCAGCAGGGCGACATTGCAAGGGGGAAGGAAAGCAACTGAACCCGACACGTCCTCAGGCTTCAGTCACTTGTTTTGGAAGTGGGGACTGTGAGGTGTTAGTGGTGGGACGTGGAGCAGTCGAGAAAGCCAAGGTTTTAATTGTTGCTCCTGAACCCGTGGCTCTTTTTGCTCCCGCAGAACTCACTCACCGTCGTGGTGCCTCAGTGTCCAAGCTGAACCCCAGGGCTGGCAGCGCTCGCAGGGGACTGCAAAGCCCCTTCCACCGAGCGCAATGCTCGGTGGCCCTCGGAGCAGCGAGTGCACATCTGGTTCGATGTGCGTCAAGGTTTAGCAGGATGTGTCTTGCTTTCGGTAGGTTTTCTGGATTCACTAAAGTGAGTGGAAATATTTTCAGTGGTTCTGTTTACTCTTCTGAAATGCAGCACGTAAGATAAAACACATGAATGTACAGCTTTTAACTTAAGGGATTCCAAGTAAGTGTTCTAAAGATTTCTTCAGGCAAAAGGTAGGGTTTTTTTTTGCTAAGTTTATTTGTTTTGAATGAAATATATCATCCTTTTCAATGTGTTTTTTGGCACTTTAACACATAGTCCAAACCAGAAGTTAATGGCTGATTGAAATAACAACTTTGAAAGGGATTTTTTTCAAAGCATGAGAAGGATTTCTTTGCTAGGTTCTGGCACACTTAGATTCATTCATCCTTTAGCAGGACAAATATTTCTTTTCCTAGTTACCATTCAACTTATGTTTTCTAGTCATACCTCCAGTATTGTTCTTTAATTATCTTCACCTGATTTTAGTCAGAATTTTTTGCCTCAAACAGTTTCCATCCAAAAAATTATTTACTTGAAATGTGATAACTTCAATTTCAACAGTTTTCATTTTCTCATTAGGAAAAGGACATAACAGTAATGGTAAAGCTAAGAATATATTTCATTAATGATTGTAGTGATGATTATTTATATTAATGCATACGATATCTATTACTAGATAGCACATAATATTTTTAATTTTTTCTGATAGGTCACATCATTTCACTTCATCAAAGATATTCACTGAAAATAATCAGTCCTGCCTTCTTAATTTTTTGTTTTGAAATTCGTATTCAGATTTAAAAACTATACTCTTAAACCATTTCAAAGACATTGTGTTTCTGAAGTAATTACTCATAAAGGGAAAATTTGGGCCTAGATCTGTTGGGTCTGGTGCGTTAACTGCAAGTGTAGCCTTCATGAAGCCATTAAGTCCTAAACTAATCCTGGGGTCCCCAACCAACAGCCTTTGGACCGTTTGCAATATGCTGGGATGATTTATCTGACCTGTGGCTCGCACTGTTCCTCCGTTTTTCCTGATGGCTCTTCACAGCTGGGCTAAGGGCTATGTGAGTTGTTCAGTCACAATTAGCAAAATCAGCTCCTCTGCTCCTCATTGCTTTTTTTCTGTTAAGCTTCTGTTCTCAATTGTCAGTCTAAGTTTTTATTTACCAGTTCTTCTCTGTTACTGTCTTTGAAACCAATTACGCACTCCAAAGCATCGTATGCGTCTTTGTCTTTTAGATATACAAGATCTGATGCGTTATTTGCTCACTGTGTTTTCTTCCTACAGGTGGGCATCCTTCCAGAAAGAAGTTAAAATGCAAACTGCATGAAACGTGTTATGTGACTGCAACAGACTACTACTAATACTGAGTTAGTTCATATAACTGCCTCTTTTTTAAAAAAAAATTATTTATTCCCCTTTGTGTGTTTGAAGAATGAACCTGAAAAATGCTCACATAGTCTTATGATTTCAATTCAGAGTAAGCTGGGAAGATGTTTTGCACTATTTATTTATTTATTTTTATCACTGATGACAAAAAATATAGAATATAATGAGAGGTTATTTCATTCAGCTAGTTTATTTTCTCTGGTGCACACTGAATGGTTCTAACTCATCCTGGACTTCACTAAGTTTGACATCTGTCAGACAACTCAGGTCATTTTTATTCCATTAGCAAGAATTTCCATTACAACAAATCCTTTTCCTGCTCAAATTTATGTCAGAAATAATCATCTGGATCTTGTCAGTTTTCACTATTAATGAGCTGAACCAGTTTGGGTATTAGTAAACATTGTGTTTTCTTGTATGAACAACAAAGAAATAGTTTATTGTATTTTCGTCTAACGCTATGGGATGTGATGTGCTTTTGAAAGTTTACTTTAAATGAATCAACATGACTTTTTATAGCTGTAACTCCCAATTCATGGTGTATAGTGAAGAATAAAACTAGGAGGCCACCAGAAAATCACTGCAATTCTGTCTAGATTTTTTTCCACTTCTAAAGCAAAGATGCTACTTATCTTGCAAAGATACTGGAGAAGTGTTTGCGGAATATTTTCAATATGCAGAGTGATAGTCAGGTAGAAAGCATCCGTATCATTTTCCAAAGAGTGATTATAATAAATTATATCCGATTCTAATACCGAATAGATCTTTCCGAGTCCCATGTACAAACACACAGTCCTGTTTAAGAACATATGATCTCCATCTCAAATAGTTGGCTATATACCTTGAGACAGACAGAGCAAAGTAGTTTGATAGACTAGTAAGAGACAGATTGGAAAAGATATGAATAAAGATAATAAGATCATGCATTTATTGTACATATGCCAGCTTCAACACAACTTGGTAGTTTAAAGTTGTCTGAAATGGGGTTTGTGTAGCTGTTTGTACACATGTATCATCACCGAAAATGCTGGCTATCCCACTTGCTCTCCGGCACAAGAAAGACTAGTATCCTAATCCTGAGGAATTAATGTAGTCTAATCTGCTTGCTGGGGAAAAATAGAATATTGTAAAGATTTGAACGAGGACCAGAGATCACTGAAGTCTAATTCAAGAATACAAGAAAAGGCACCTAGAAATTCCATTGCATTTTTATCTGGTTTTCACCATGTGCTGAGTAAGACTTTGAAACTTAAATGAGTGCTGGTTGGGAAAGCCTTGCAGCACAGACATTATTAATAATGCTCAAATCCACATACCGTGTTTCCTATTGGATCGCAATTACTGGATTTAATTAGCATCCAGTAGCCAGAAAAAGCACAGCAATAACATTTGACATGAAGTAAGGTGCAGATGTACTGGGAAATCCACACAGTCCAGTTGTGATGTGAGATACAAGACCACCCATGAGCGATAGTGTGTTATATCCATCAGTATGGTGCATGTTCCTCATTAGCCAATAAGATTGCTTCTTTTCATCATACTCCTACAGATTCAATAGCTTTGCCTTTATAATTTGTTTCATTGAACAATGAAAATAGATGAGTAGATTATTGCAAAAACATATATCTTAATATGTGTTTTATTCTTTTGCCTCTATATACTTCTGCTAAAGATCTGTAACAGATCACCAAGAACATTCCTTAAATAAAAACAGCACATCTTAAAGGCAACCTATGAGTGCAATTAGAAACATTTCCCATCATACAGCAAAGATAATGTTTCCTAAATGCTCTTAATTTCATACATCTGTTATGCTCTGTCATGAATTTTTTTCTCCTCCCAAGACAATTTTTGAAGGTTTCTGCCGATGTAATTCAATTTAAAGCTTTTAATGTCAGCTGAATGGGTCATGCCACTTTCTCCACATTTGTATTAGCTTCTCTTCTTAGACGAGGCAGAAATATGATGAATACTTTTCATCAGTAGCCTATATTCATGACAAATGGCCATTGCATTTTGTTCCATTATTTGTAGACTATAGTTTGCAAACATTGCTAATTTTCCATGTCTTTAACATATGCAGACATGCACACATGTAGGTACACACATATACAGAATGTTTTTTCAACGCATTTTCTTGGGCCAGAAGTTATTTGTGTTGCTTTTAAAATTGCAAAGTGTCTTCCTCATCCACTTGTTTCCAAAATGTGTCTATAGCTATTCTTGGATAGTTTACTGAGCAATAACATACACTAATTTTTGACATTGTCTTGAACCTACGTTAAAGGGACCTGACTTGACATTACATTTCGTTTTTAAGAGCTACCAGTTCTGCTTGCTAAACAATCCCCAAGTTCTAGAGCAAGTTAGCTAGTGTACTGTTATATATATTAGAAAACCGTAATATCCTGACTGTGATTGTATTCAGTTTTATTACTAATACAGTGTCTGTTACTACAAAATTTGAGCTCCTTCATTCTATATTAGTTACTACATCAGTAAAGTTGTACTTTGACTGAACACCAGGAAAACACCAAAAAAAGCATTTTTACTTATGCGTGGGAGGAGTGGAAGGATGTAGGGGGCATGTATATGTGAGAAAAAAATTGCCATATTTCTAAATAGGGGTTACTATCACCTTGACTTTTTTTGACAGAAATTGTGTGGAACTCAAGATTTTATTTGAAATGCAGATTTCCTGTGGGACGACATATTTAAAGACGCTGCATTCTGGTGGACCAGATTCTGACTGTAGATACAGAAGGGAGTAGTACTGAGACATGCCATCCCTGGGGAGAAAAGTTTGGTGTAGAACAGTTGTGGTTCAGCATTCCCTGTTGCTAAGGAGCCAGGTTTCCTGAAAGTGGTCACTGCTGGCTGCCAAGCTAAGGGAACTCCAGGACTGCTCCATGGGAAGCTCTTGGCAGCCTTTACCCATGGAAATCCCACAGACACAAGCAGCGAGTTTTGCTAAGCCTGTGGCTAAGAATGACCATTCAACTACTGTGAATCCTCAAATTATTCTCCCTTGTATGATTAGAGCCAGCCTGTCCCATTCAAACTCCTGTGTTACTTTGCTCTCATGACCACAGTGCCAGTGGTGATAGCTGTTCAGGGTCTAGGTTCATTATCAGAAATGCCTGTTACCATTTTTAAGGTATTTGCAGTCATATGGGAACACAGTGCCTCAGCTTTTGAGTGTGTCATTCAAAAGAACTTCCCCAGATTGATATGGATGCTTCCTGCAAGAGCCAAGCTTAAGTACATCCCACAGCAGACCAGCTTTGCTAAAGATGGCACCATCATACTCTCATGAATCTAAGCTCAACCTCATGAGCACATTCACAGACCTCTCAGCAACTACTTGTCAGCCTCTCAGTTGGGTTTTATTTGCATCAACATTCAAAATGAGATCATAGTTCACTAATAATAAGGTACCGCTAATGGAGGCCTCTAGCGGTGGGAAAATGTGGATGACTGAGTTAGCAGAACAGACTTATGGAGCTGATGTTCCACATCTCAACAGTTGTTTTCCTCCCCAGTTGGACTGGAAAGTCCTTGCTGCCTGAATGACAGTTTGAAAAGCTGTGGAAATATTTTGTTTCAGCATTTTCAATTGGAACAAAATATTTTGACATAGTTGAAACAGAAATGCCTAGTTTACTTCACCGAGGTGGCCCTAATCACTTCATCTTGTGACAATAAAGTTTTACACTGCAGTTTTTCCTGGCAGTAAATTGCCTCCTACGATTTGTAGGCAAGAGGCTTGAGGCTCCATCCATCCCAAAGAACTAAACGAAGTGGCTCAACTACCTGTCCCGCAGTGCCCCCAGAGCTGCGTGACATCCGTAACACGGACTGTGACATGGCTTGGTGGGAAGTCCCTACTGCATTAGGGAACGATGCAAGAAGCCAACTCAACAGGGAGAGCTATACCTCCTAAAAGGCCACAGACTGTTGTTTTGTGAAGCCCATTAAAAATGAAGTGCTTTAGGTTAATTCAAAAGACTAATATTCTGGATGGGCCAAACCAACTTGCAATGAAATACGTAGATATTTATGTTCAAAAATATTCTCCATCCTCCCCAAATCCGTATGTCCTTGCCCACACATGTTTTAATTCTATGGAGAAATGAAAGCAATTTTCCAAAAGGGAATTGCAAAGCAGGTTTCATTATAAATTGCTTCACTGTCACCCTTCCTGGTATGAAGACACTGAAAACATCAAGATCTGCTAGAGAGATAAGCAGTAATTCTGTTTTCCCAAGGGAATTAATGGCCAGGGGAATAAAACGAAGGGGAGATTTCCTCTCAGTCTCAGAAATAGTTAATACCATTGACAGAGCCTGGCCTGATAGTACAGGGAGACGCTCCCTTGCCTCATGAGTGCACATCAGCTCTAGTGCTGAAAGAATCGATTAGGAAAGCAGATTTTAAAAATCAGCCTAAAGTTTTTCTAATCATCTTAGAATAATCATTAACCATGTGAAACTAGCAGAGCCACAAAACAAACCTTCCAAGCTGCTCACCACGCAGTAACAGCTACAGACTGATAACCCCAGAGAACAAGTCAGCTCTCCTGATGCAGCATCATCTGCTCTCAAAGACTAAAGTGACGTGTCCTCTGCTCTCCACGTGCTCCACAGACCGGGAATGAAGTCATGTCACTTTAAACAGGATCCTGAAAATGACACCTGTTCTGCACAGACACCACTGAGGGACTTTTAGAGTCAGTCCCTCACAGCTATGCAATCAAAGATCAGTTTTCAATGAAATATTACTTACTTGAATCAATGTTGTCTTGATCTTTGTGAAGGGTGCAGCAGGCATAAAATGTGATATTGATTTCTGAGATGGAGCCTGGTCCTTTCTTCATGGCCGTTTCAAAAAATGCAAAGTATTTCTTTTCTTTCACACCAGAGATCATGTCACCTTTGCAAACTGGAGGTCAAGGCCCTTTTCTGTTACCTCATATTTATCACCTGTCCTTTTTTTCTCGTGCTCTTCTCTTCGTCTCTCAGTTTTTCTTTCTCCTCTTTGAGTTTTTATTGCCTCTTCGGCTCTCCTCTTAGCTCCTGTTCTAATTTCTGCCTTTTCCCTTGCTCTCCTGAGTGCTTTTACATTCTGATCTAATTTCTCATGTCTTCTCCCAGTGCTACTCCCTCTCCTTTCTATCTTTCTGACCCTCACCTGTTCTTCTTTCCGTGTCTCTGACTCCAACTCGGCTTTCTCCCCTTACGAGGTACTGGCTTTGGATTTTCTTCCTTTCCGTTTCCCACATTGCTCTTGGGCTGTTTTTAGCAGTTATCTCAATAAAGTTTTCCCCGTTGTACATATAAATACAACGTCCCAGCCTCTCATAACAATACGTCTTTTTTCTAGGTTGCCTCCCATTTCCATGATTAGTGTGCATATCTTTTTAATGAAACTGTAGAAACAACCAGGAGCAAAGCTTCCAAAATCTGTAATCTGTTGCTGCCAGCCTCCCATGATATATAAGGTTTACTTTTTTTTCCTGAAGCCAATGAGAATTTAAGTCTATCTTGCTGGTTTGGTTTAATTAATTTAGGAGATAGAGAGGGGTCCAGATCAGAAATCATAATCCTGAAACCTTCTCTCGGTAGTTTAGGACATGCAATAGGGAAGAATTAATATATTTTCCAGTTATATTTCATTTTATAGAGGAAAACTACAATTTCCTGAATGCACTGCTGGCTAGCTCACTGAAATGAATATTTTAACAGTGAAAAGTGGCACGGAGGCTTAAACAACAGTTCAAAGAGGCTATGTCTGAAAACTACAGTACATCTAACAGCAAGACTTCCATAATACAACGTGTGGTCTCAGAGGAAGGTACCTTATATCCTGAATATACAAGTTATGTTGTGCATATACAAACTGTGTTAACAAGCAGCTAGTCTGGTTTGCCGAGATTTGCAAACTATTCTTGCTCATTTTGTAAGAGTGGACAAGACCACAATGTATAATGACATGCTTACAAATACTCGGGAGGATGTGTTGACTGTCATTCCACACCCTTTGTGCTGATCATATATATGGTAACAATTTGATACCATAATTGGATGAACCCAAAGCTTAGAATTAGGTCTACACTTCAAATTCTTGTGGTTGCAAGCTTGAAATTCTCTTTCAAGTACTCTGTGTTTTATTTACTTAAGATGTACTCTGAAAATACTTACCAGTAAACCCTTTCATTAAGGTCAACCTTAAAAAAGACTTGTACACACTGTCAGCATGATTATTTTTTAGATTTAAAAGCAAATAAAGTAAAGCAACGTGTGGTACACCATGTAAAATATCTCTATATATTTATTTACATATGGGACCTCTAAAAATGACCTTAACTAATTTTCGTTGTATGCATATTTCAATGAAATCATCCTACTTATTTCCCTTTTTATGACAGCAATTGCAGAGCAGCCCAAGGAGTTTTGACTTTCCCATTTCCTTCTGACTCCTTTCCTCTTGGTTATGGTAGCAGATAGCAGTATTTTCTGCCAGCTTACAGAAAGTCCACCTTCATCTTTGTGCTGTTCCGACACAGTTAAGACTGTGGACATGGTTCTCCTGTGCTGCGAAAAAGTCCTCAGGCAGGCAGTAATCCAGGGTACCCCAGCTGGAGAGTCTGATCCAAAGCCAATTAAAAGTCTCGTATAGGGTCCAATTACCTTCTACTCAGCTTTGACCCAGGGACATGCCCTTCTTTGAGCAGGAAATCAAATTTTGGAAACCAGCAAGAAGAGGATGACAAATGCCTATAGCCTGTGCTAACTTCCATTTTGTGCAAGTTCTGTGGAAGTCAGTAGATCAGCGCCTAATCTCAGTCACAGTACTATAAACCTCACATAGTTCTCCTGGAGTTATCTGGATTTAGAGTGATGGGGCCTGATGGTTTGCTTTTTATTTTGTTTCAGTGAGTTACAGCAGTACTTAGCCCAAATTAGTATATCCTGCAAGACGAAGTGCAAAGACGCTGCACAACACAGGCACATTTCTCTTTCAGAGCTGTGTTTGGAAGGACTTAAGAACTTTGAAGACTTTAAAGCTATTATATGGTCAGCTTCTGAGTTAAATATGCCTCAGTACTGACACTGATCTCACAGGAATGCAACAGTCTTCACCATAAATCCTGCGCTAAGGCTTTTTCTCTGCACTTCCATGATGTGCATGTCTAGGTAACAATTCACTGAGCTCTGTGTCAAAGAACTGGAAGTTGTCTTCAGGAAGGTTTTGCTGAAAGCAATGTCACTTTTCAAAGAGTCTTCAATGGAAAATATTTTATTTCACTATAAATGCCTCAGAGGAAGAATTTAAATTCGGTAGAATCTAATATAACATGTCATTTTATATTCTAGCATTCCACCAGGCAGAGGTAACACAGATCAACTAAAGCACACTTTCCTTCCAACGTGCTGCTTAGCTGAAATGGGTGCGTACATTTTGTATATTTTTTTCTTCGATTTCTGTCTTTAAATAATTTTTCAATTTGCAAGTTTTAATTTTTTATAAGTGTAACCACTTGTGCTTGGCAAATAGAAGGCTGGATGAAGTTTGCTGCAAGCATATTCCTAACTGACTCACAATAAATTATATAACTCAGAAAATAGTTTTTGGACCTGCTGTTGTTTGAACTAATTGCTGGGATTAGTCATTAGTATCAGCTTGATAGTGTTGTGTATTTTAGATACCTGGAATTATTTCTACACCTTGATAGGCTAGCTGAGAGATCTGAACCTAATATGTGCCTGTAAACACATTGAACTTAAGATAACAGGGAATATCAATCCAGGTTTCAAGTATGGCTGTATGTGAATCAGATGGTTCCTATGTGTTTAGTCGAAATAAATCTCTGAGTCTGTACAAACTCATTCTATGAGCAGTCTGGAGATAGGCCATATTTAAATACTTTATAGAGCATTGTGTACACTAATTAATAAATACAATTTTCTAAGAGCTTTCTGAACCTTGAAAAAACATTGCTTAAGCAAATGTATGCAAATTATTAATAGAAACTGTAATCTCTCTTCCTGTCTACTATTCTTATTTGGCCCTAACTATTTTGATATCCGAAGACCGGAAGAACCAAACAGGTTAGTTTTGCCAAAAAGGAAAATAAGGTGTTCCAAAGCATGAAAGAAATAATTTTAAAAATTAAGTTCCATACAAATCAAAGAATAATAAATCTTGGATCGCCCAAACCCTGCTGTTTAACTTTTCATGATAAAATCTGTGCCTCCCACTAACTCCTAGACATTCTTCTGTGACTGCTGTATTGTTTTATGTATGTGAACCAACCTTGCAATATAAGGTGACAAACAAAAAAGATGGAAAAATATATAAAACAGGGGGAAAAAAAAGGTCTACTTGCTACCTCAGGCTTTAAAACTCTTCTTATACACTTCAGCACGAAGTCTATTAAAGCGGAATATAGTGGAAATACAATATACAGCAATGAATGTCTCCAAACCAGCAATTTAGCGCTAAAGCTGAGGGCAGTTCTTATGCACCGACTTTTAATACCGAGACGATTTGTGGTCTCACAAAGTTCCTGCCTTGGGCAAGAATTGTGCCGCCTTCTAATGGCTCTAGTTTGTTGACTGTCAGAATAATGGAGAAATTGGTAGCAGAGGGCCCGAGCGCCGTAAACAGCTGAGATAATTAGGAGGTCTGTCAGGAGGAGAACGAGGCTAAAGCAGTTCACGCTCTGTCACGGGGCGCAAAGCGTTCATTCAGCAGACTGCTGGATAACACGGGATATATCGTCCTAGCGAGCTTGTTTGGAGGTGGGGAGAGAGCTTTTATTGTCAAGTGAGCCGACTTCCCCTGCTTTCCTTCCCACAGTGGGCTTGCAAGAGGTGGAATTTATTATTAATAAAATAATACATCTTGCAAGCAAAATGCTGACTTGTTTTTTTCTGTCAAGCCACTTGGTTAACAGAAAGGTTGGAGTCAGGCGAGGCAGCACAGAGAGGCTGAGGAAGCTGCGAGGGGTGGATTAAACCTCTCTTGTAGAGCTGATGGTAAGAGGGGTCTCCCGAGAAAGGAAGCTGAGCGCGTGGGTCCGTGGACGATGGACCCGTATTGCCGAAGCAGCGTTCCAGAAGTTGTTAATGCAGAAGAAGTCTGGTGCCTTAGCCAAGAAACTAGGAAGTAGGAAGTGTAGTAATCTAGAAATTGCTGTGACTAAGTCATTTATAGGCCACGGCACACCTAGGGGTGAAGTAAGCCAAAGTTTTCAAGGCTGATGTGTGTTTTTGGATCTTAATTTAAGGTTTGGCTTTTGGAAAAAGCAGCTTACCCGTCTTCTGCATATCAAGTCTTTTTAGAGTTTCTGAATTGCGTAGCCAAAAATGCAGTCACTTGAAATCACTAGGATTTCAGAAAAATATATATCTAACATGATTGTTCAGGAATCAGTAAGGTGTAAAGTTATGTTAAGGTCAAGGTATGTTAATGCTTAATAACAAGCAAATATTAATAGTTTTGAGTTATAGAGAGACAGGGCAGGATAGGTGGACCAGGCAAGTGGCCAAGAGACCTTTGTCCTTCTAGCTCTGCCTTTAACACAAGTCACACATTAACTTTGCTTCCACTTCGGAAAATGAGGCCGTCTAGCTTGCCAAAGTGGTCTGGGGATCTCTAGGTGTCAGATGATTTTCACGTTGTCGTTTATGAATGCTGCCATTGCTTGCATCTCACAGAGTTGGACCGTACAAAACGTATTCTCATGCACTGATTTATTTAACGTGAATCTCTGAGCGTTACCTACATTCTCCTGGATCGGTGGGGACGAGAGCAGCTAGAGACTCAGACTAAGACTGAATATTTTTAAAACTCTGGAAAGACTCGGATAGTCTGAGGCCATGTCAATGAGGAATAAAAGGGACCTAATTCAACTGAAATATTTAGTAACCTCAATCAGACAGCAGTATTGTTTGGCCTTTTTTCCCCTCTGCTACTCACGTCCCTCCTACCCCACTGTCATTTAGCATAAGCAGCAGATCAGTCATTTACTGCAGTTCCTGTCCCTGCTTCACTCGGTCCCTCTGAACACCTGAATGGCTGTTGCTTTAATAATTCGGTTGTCTTTTTGACAGGACTAGAGGAGTCTTTTTTAAGCTCTTGCAGCACTGTGCAGCAGCAGGCAGCAGACAGTGCATGATTGCACTGGGACTTAAGAGCAAACTCCAGCTCCCTGTCAATGGCTGTGTGCCAGACAGCTCAGCCTGCAGAGAGCAAAACCCTTCAAAAGGCTGAGCCTTTAAAAGGGAGACTGTCAACATCCGTCTGAACCGTTAGTGGGGGGATCGCCACAGGAAAAGGGAGCACGCCGGAAAATTGAGGGGAATGGGAGCAAGTGGCATAAAAGGGCTAATTATCTTCCTATTCCCTTTGCATGCCTATTAAAGACCACCAAAAATAGTGTCTACTTAAGGATGGAGATTTTTTCTTTCCCTGTAAAGTTAAATGGACATCACACCTGTCATTCTGTGAAGTGGAATCACTCCTGGAAGATGGACTTGGCTGGCAGCCACCTCCTGACAGTGAGAGGCAGGTCTGAACAGCAAAGTTTGGATCGAGATCTGAACTTCTCTCACGTCCAAATGTGCTTGGATCCAGGACATTGGCTGACACCCATCTCCGCTACATCTATACTGTGATTATGTGTGAATGGTCCTATCACTTCACACTGCCGTCGATGTAATCACTTCCATTTGGGCATCCTTCTGAAAGAAAATCTGCTGTCATGATGGCCAATGTGTGATGCTTTGCTGCATGAAGATTACCTCCTAGCCCCTACAAGACATCAGTTTTTATCTGAAAACATGCATGCTAGCTGACCTTTACTGATGACAACTTCTGTATTTACAGTTCTCACTATTAAGGCAGCTTTAACTCCACATTTCTGTGGGGGATTCTTTCCCAGATGCGTATCAAAATGCAATATACTTGGGAGACTTGTATACATGCAGTGGGCCTGATTCTGCTGCTTCTTCCACTCACATCTGTTATATGCTTGTGTAACCCCGTTGACTTCGGTGGAATTGTTTCTGATTGGAGTTAGATGAATACCATATTTTCCTACATATCACCCATGGATTATCTGTAAAAACCATGATTCATCAGCACTGCGGTTTATACGCACATGTAAGTAATGTGAGGGGAAGTTTACTCTGGGACCCCCCTCTTTCCCAGTAGCCCCGTGGCTCTAATTCCTCTCGCATTTGCTTCCTTTGCCCCAGTATCCCCCTGCTTCGGATCCCTCCTTCCTTTGGGTTCCACCCTGCCCTCTTCCCCTCTGGTTCTGGGTGGTTTACAAGAAACTACCTGGGGATGCATCTTCAAGTGCTAGCAGGAATACTGGTGTTCAGAGATAGCCAGTGTATGCAAAAAATATGGTAACTGATTTTTTTTCTGTTTGCTCTTTGAAAAGTAGAAGCAAAAGAAATTGGTTGGGTCAGCCTGAAGGGAAATTTGAGTTTTCTGGATGAAATTAAATTTGATAAAAAAAAAAAAAAAAAGACTTCCAATAGGTGAAACATTTCATTTAGTTGCCAGGTATTCTTTTTTTAGACTTTAAAAAAGTAATTAAGTTTGGCTAAATTTATTCTAAAGATGTCATTCTGAAAGAAAAAAATGAAATGATTTCTTTCAAGAACATTAAAACAAAACATTCTGACTTTTTCATTCCATGCCTCCCAATAAACTATTCACAGAGTTCAAGGTGATAGTCTGTAAATACATTTCTGAGAAAAAAAAATGCCTTTACAAATCTCATCTTGATTAACAGGAGCAAAGAGGTGAATCAGATCCTGCATATACTCACCCTTAAGGTGGGGAAAGCGAACAGAGGTGAAGGCCAATAAAATGGGTAATAATTTTTGGCACTTAAACTCTTTTTTGGAAGTCAGGTACTCAGCTGTGATGAACTGCAGATGAAGTCATGCATCTAACCCAGACTCATATAGGAAATCACTGGCAGAAACAGGAGTACAACATACTACATTTGACTCCTTGCATTGTGTGGTAACCACTTGAAAATAGTTATTTTATCATGTATATAGCTATTAACCGAAACTATAATTTTCACTTTACATTGTGATCTTTCCAAATTTTTTTTAGGGAGATTGCATGGAGCATTTATACTTGGATACCCTGTGCTGAGCTTCCACCAAAAATGTCGTCTCATTTTGTAAAAAAATATCCAGTGACTTTTCACCTCACATACACTTCAGCTACTGTCAGAAGAAAAATGCAATAAATAGTGCTATGTGAAGAAAACAAAATGATTATCCTTGCAACCTAATAAGCAATTACAAAGGGCAAATTACTTGCACCCTCTGTAATTTTTTGTCATTAGATAATTAACATCAGAGGTATTAATGATCATTTTAACAAATTACCATATAATTATAATGTGTTTCTTCATTTAGTCATACATATAGTACAAACCCTTCTAAGATTTGTGTATTAATTGAAAATACGTTATTTATTGGCTTAGCTGAGTAACAACCCACAGTGGTAACTAAACCTATTAAGGAAATGCTGGGCTGATCATAACTAGCTGTCAATCTGTTGTTACCAGAGCAATTCTTAGTGGATGCAAGTGTCACTGACCAAACCCAAATTAAGGATCAAATGAAAAAATATAAGAAGTCCTAGTATTCACTAGGATCAAAGACCTAGAAATGCCACATTTCTGACTCGTGTTAACTTCATCAGGAATGAAAGCTAAGAGTGGAACAAATGCACGCGTGAGTTTACAGGGCCAGCACATGCTGGTGGCAATGCTGCTTCTTAGATTAATTAATTTCATAACATTTCCATAATAGAGTTTTACTTAGTGTACTTTTCATAATCTAATTTTAGTTCAATTGCTTTGCACAATCTGCTCAAAATGTGTTTACGATTCAGAATTGTCAGAGTCCCCTTTTCATTTTGTGCTTTGCTGCCTTTATAAAATCTGCCTAAATTGGTGAAATAAATTAGAGGAATGCTGCCAAAAACATTTTTCCTACTATCCTAACATTTAAACTACTGCACTTGGGCCAGGTTTGCAGCACTTCCTGTGAATCGTCTCCTAGAGGTATGCGGACACGAGCGTGGCTGGAAGAGTGAACTTCAGGAGAATGCTGCCGATTTTTGGGAAGAGGATTTTTGGATTTGTTATTATGAGGAGGGGGGCTGGAAAGCTGATTCCAAATTACCCGTTTCCAATTTGGGAATAGATATGGCCCATGTGACCTAAGCATCTTGTCAAGACAGCTTGAATTTGAAATTGTGAATATGCATGTGGATGAGCTGCAGACCCAAAATGATTCACACAATGATATGGCATATCTTTCTGAATAGGCTGAAATTCACCCCTGGGCAAAAGACCGGGAGAAAGCTCTCAACATGTGGCTCAAGCGAGATTTAAGAAGCCTCACGGCTTCACAGTGACCCCCTTGAACAGGATCAATTGCACATACAACATATATATTGAGAAAATCAAGATCCACTTGCTGACAATTCATGAAGGGGGAAACTGTTTGGAATAAATTATTCATTACAGAACTACTCAGCTTTGGCAATAAATACGAAGGTTGAAGGAGAATGGGAGCTATTCTAGCTGTAATGGTGTTTTACAGCCATTTTCAAATCTAGAGGCTTTAAGTTGATAACCAGTTGATAATAACCTGCCATTTTCTTCATTTATGTGCCTCCTGCGGGACTCTGGCTGGATTCTGCCTTCTGAGAACCCCCACGTTCACAGGATTCGATACTCAGAGGAATGAGGTAGGCAGATTGCTCCCTTTTAAGATCAGTGTCTCCTTTCCTAGGAACACTTGTGGTTCTAGCTCAGGCTTCCTCCTACCTTGACAACCACTTATACTGATGCAAGTTGCTACCCAAAGTACATCATACCTGCAGGGCTGATGTTCTGCGTTTAGGTAAAAGTAAAGACAAATGAGCATCCAAAGGCTTTTCAGCATCACCGAAATGTTAATTTCAAAAAAAAAATCTCAAGGACTGGCTATCTGCCTAGCTGTGTAAAACACTTAACCCCCTCCCTTGCTTATGGTTATTTATGCAGTAGGGATCTGAGGGAAGGAGCTCACAGCTGAATACATTACAGAGGAGGTGGAGTTAAAACTTTTGTCCCAGTGAAGTCAGTGGCTCAACTTACACCTTCCAGGGAGGGTAGAGCTGTACTCCAGATAGCACTGGCCATTCATTTTGCATGGATATTGAACTGCTTTTTTAATTAAAGAGAAGGATATTTTTTTTCTGCCACTGCCATTTCCAGCTGCCTGAGCAGCTATGATGACACCTTACAAAGCTGCCATTACATTGGTGATATTAGTATTAATCATGCGTTGCTTGATACTGTAATTGAATAGTTTTTACATAGATAATATTAACTGATAAAATATGGCATCCTCATGAGAAAACATTACCTTGAAATATTAGCGTTATAATATGTTAATTTCTATGGAGGATACGACTACGGATATATGAGGAGATGTAAATTTCCCAGCACTTCTACTGACAATTTCCATGTCAACATAATTCTTAGGAATTTGTACTCACTATTTTGTGATGACTTATATGATGATGTATAACAACATAAGGGGTTTTTAAAATGCAGTATTTTGACTAATGCAGTTTAGTAAATAGCATACAGGACTGTTTCTTGCTTTTGGTTCCTGGAATATTAACACAAGCTCTTGATACCACTAGGAAGTCACCAGCCTCAGTGCAAAATGCAAAAGTGAGTACTCGGGCTGCTCTGAGCACTTTGCAGCTCAGTCCTCAACCTCTTCCGCATGTTGTTAGTGAGAGAAAAGGTTCTGATACAAGGCAGCAGAATCCCTCCCTAAGTATTACAATTTGAGGCTAGAACTGAAAAAAGAGAAAAAAACAAGAAGTGGGATAGATGGCTACATGGAAGCTCTGCATTTCTTGTGAAGCTGTTTGCAAATGAGCTCCAGTTAGAAATTCATGACCAGTAAAACATAGTACAGACAGTTCTTCCCATCTATAGACTCTTAATTCTGGTCTCCCATATGTTTTCCTCATGCCGTGGGTTGAGTGGGTGTCCCCTACAAAAAGTAGAGTCTGATTCCCTATTGCATGTATTGAAATGAACTGTGTCAGGGCCCGCGTTAACCTTGAACCCTTGGACACAAAACACAGGGTCCACAGCATACTGCCTCATTTCTTGTGCTTATTCTTAGTGAATGGTTTACACCAATACAACTCCGTGGGCTTTGCTGGCTTCTGACTTATGCCTGTGTTCCCTGTGATTTCCTTTAGAAAAACCTAGACTCACAAGATAAAACCAGAGCCTAAGAGAACAGAATGGCACCTTGAAGGCAGAAGAGATGATAGCAGTTGGGGCACTGAATCTGTAAACAGGCAGCTAACCTGGCTGTCTCTTGTGGGCTAATCTGAATTAATTGGTGTTATTTGTGTCTTTGATACTCAAATACAGACCCTGGGGGTGGGAGTTCTCATGAAACAAGTGGCCACTTGGGAGAGCCGTCCCAGGTCCAATCATGTCATGGACTCATTTGTCTCCCACAGTAATTCACTACTCACTTCAGTCACTTTAAATGTAAAACAGCTGCTCCTGCTTAGCCCTCTTTCAAGGTACCTACCAGCAGCTTCAAACCAAGCCTGAATGGGTCCCATCCCATAATAGTCTCCCACACAGTGGTCATTTGGAAACAATTAACCCTTGATTCAAGATCCTCTTAAAGAATCCTTTTTGAGGTTTTTCTCTCTTCTGTTGCAACCCATTTCTTTATTCCCTCTCCCCTCAGATGGGAACAGTTTTATCCTTCAGGGCTGTTGTGGATCCCGCAGCTCCCTGTAAGCGGTAAGCATGCATATGGTGCTTGGGGGAGTTACAGAATTGGAATGGGGGTATTGAATTATAGGGTTATTATGTATGTTTTTGTTCCCCTCATCCATCCACACTGAAGAAACTTGCAGCTACCAAATCAAAACAGACCGGTGCTATGTCGAAAAAAGAACATTTCCTCTCTCTCTCTGCCCCCCTGCAGTACCTGGGGGTCCTATTCACTTCACGCGTGTTTGGCACCACTGCTACCCCTTGCATCCCTTGGTCTCTGGTGATATGATGAACTGGAGATTAATCTATCTTAAGGAGAAGCACCTGGCTTTGAGCTAATAAAATATCAATTTGTAACAGGGAGGAAAAGGCTCAGTGAGAGGTCTGCATGCTTGGGGCTTTGAGACCCAGTTTGACTTGGACGTTTAATGCCGCTTGTGAATTTTAGAGCGTTCTCTGAGCACTTCAAAACCTTTCCGTGCTGTGGTCTCAACCTTCTCCAAAGTGCTGTGTTTTAGACCTGTGGCCTTTACTCTTGTCAGTGGTATTGCCCAGCCCCAAACTCTGTGGGGCCTGCCCCCTCGCAGGCACCCCCCCCCCACCTTTCCCTTTCCTCAGGGCTTGCTGGCCAGATGTAGTGGCCCCTTGCTGTGATGTTAAACTGGCAACACCCTTGATCCAGGCAGACAGACACTCAATAGCCAACTTCTGGAAAGCCTCCCCCTGCACTGGACGGCTCTGACACAAACCAGCTGAAGACATTGCAATGCCAGAAAGTGTTACAGCTGGACTGCCTGACAGATTGGCAGCACACACGCTGATTTGGGGACCGTATTTGGGGGCCTGCAAAGTACTCACTGTCCAGGCACCGAGCCACTAATCACAGTTTACATTAGGCAATCAGATACTTTTCCACTACTGAATGATCTTTTTTTCCCCCCCCCGCCCCTCCACCTTATGGGACCCTGTGTGTGTATAGGCGCTACCTACACTCCGTGCTTCACATCTGCACTGTATTTTAAACCATATCTAAATGATAACTATTAACGTCTGCTCAGGCAAGGACAAGGTGCCCAAATCACTGCTGTTCTGATTCCTCCTACCCATTCCGCAGCCTGACTTTTGCCTGCTTCTGTGCTGAACCACTTGATTAATTTAACCTGTGGGTTATTGAGTATAAGTAGAAATAGTTATGGAGGAGTACTATAGAGTTTCATAAAGAAAGAAAGCCTAGATGTTTAATGTCACTCTATAGGAGTGGAGAGTCTGTCCTCTTATGGAATGTTATGAGTGGTTGTAATGAAGATTTGTTCTCCGGAGTTATATTTAAGAACCATAGATTTTAGAATAATTTCTCTAGCACGTGGCTAGCTTAATCCTTTTTATATAGGAATGCTTTATTAGGAATGAATCTATGTCATCCCCATATGTCAGGTCTGAATTTTAGGTTGGTCCAGCCATGATGCTGTAGCTAGATATACATTCATGTAAGATAAGTGTGCCATGGCTGGATGTCTAATGGATATAGCTTCATTTATAATCAGAAGGGCTTAGATCTGGCTTTGACCCAGAGTTTCTAATTCCAAAGGAATGCTGACATTTTGTAAAACCGGTGTCTCTGTCAGAATGAATAGCTGAAATTTTGATATTTTCCAAGCCAAAAAAGGTACTCTTAAAAATGTATACTATATTAAAACATTAGATAGCAGTTAGGTGCCAATTTAAGGAAAATATATGAACACAGAATATGAAAATTCATATTTTAATGTAAACATTGAGCTGATATTAACAAATATTTTGATGTTGGCAAAATGAAATATCATAATTTTTTCTCACCAATGTTTTTTACCACAATTTATCCTATAAAATGTTTTGATTTTAATGGAACTGTGTTTTCTGATGCATAATTATTTTTGTCCAAAAAATTACACCGTGTAAGAGGGTCCCACATTTATCCTCCTGTGGTGGGTGCTATCACAGCTGACCCAAATGAACTCCCAAGACATCCTGCGCTTGCTGGGGGTGGGAAGAGTCGACCCTGGAAGCTCAAGCAGAGCAAGGAGCAAAAAGTTAACAGAATTTGAACTGTAATTTGTGGGGTTAGTATTGCACCTTTCACTTCTCACAGATATCACTACCAGATATAACTTTGGAAGTCGTGGCTCAATTTCCCTATCTGAAAAGTGGCAACCCTGCTGCTAATTTACCCTTAAGGTCTCTGCTTAGGTAAAGCACTTGTAAGTACCAGTTAACTTTATTGCCCAATTCCTTTGCGTAAACTCATGGCTGATATGAAGAAATGGGCACACCTACTGTTATGCAGATACAAAATAAGGGTTTATTTTGGGCCCAGATTGTAGTTTCACGGTTCCTGGGGCAGAGCTGAAGCTTGCACACTCTTTATTTCCTTCCCCGGAGGACCTGGGATGCAACGACAAATAAACAACCCTGATGACAAAATGTGAGCTTTGCGAGAGTAAAAGGACATTTATTAGGTAAATATACTGTGTAGCTCTAGCAAAGGCATGCGTGCATGCACACACACTTAGCGTCTGAGTGAGAACGGAGTGGACTTGAGAAATGTATTATGCATTCAGGCAACTTCGATGTGCCACTAATAAAATTAAGTGTTGGAACATAAATGTTTTAATTTTAGTGCAAATGCTCCAAGCAATCCCCCCTCCTGTACCCTTCTTTCCCACCCCCAACGCAGACTAATCCATTTAGAGACAAATTTACATTTTATTTCTCCAAACCCTATTAGCATTAATATAAAGGTCAGCACTGAAAAGGCAGCTTCAGAAGCTAATGTGCCAGTATGCTGTGCACTGTGACCAGACGAGGGCACGTGGGTCTCTCACCCACTGAGTCTGACAAGAATTTTTAATTTAGGAGGGAGGTCTCACTCTCCAAACATTCCCATAGCTCCTGGAGGTGA